ACCACCACCAACAAAGGAGACCAGCCTGGGAAGCAAAAGCAACGATATTGCCCCCGCGCCTCACTCGGCCGGTGAGCGGGAGCCGGTCTGTATGTGGGATCCGAACCCTCGGGCGGGAGCGCCACCGCGCTTCCCAAGCGGCGCACTATCCAGTGCGCCACCGGGCCGGCCCTCTCATTCACTCTTTTTAAAGCCATCAGAACCATGCCCATGATCACCATTTTTAATCCATTCACTATAGTATGTTCTATAATCTAATCACCTCTTCAAGGTCTTTTTAAAGCCATGCCCATGATCAACATTTTTAATCCATTCACTATAGTATGGTCCTACAATCTAATCACCTCTTCAAGGTCCCACCTTTCAATTACCATAATAAGATTTCCCACCCTCAACAGTTACAGTGGGAATTAAGTTTTTGGGGGGACATTCAACCAAAGGCAGGATGTATGTTTCCATTTCCCTTGAGTATATACCTAGGAGTGGAATTGCTGGGTTGTATGGTAACTATGTGATTAACCTTTTGAAGAACTGCTAAACTGTTTGCCAAAGCACCTGCACCATGGCACAGTGTATGAGGGTTGCAATTTCTCCACCTTCTCACCAACACTTGTTACTGTCTGTCTTTTTGATTATAGCCATGTGAAGTGGGATTTTAACAGGCAAAGAGTGAGAATTTAGGGCTGAAGTTCCTGGCATGAAAGTACAGATCAGGCAAAAGGAATGGGGAATAATCCATTGAATAAGTGGAGAAGGGTTGACCCTGGAAAGTTTACTTGAGGCCAGATCCTGGAGGGTCTTGCTTATTATGATGGTAAAGTGTTTGGACTTGATTCTGTAGGCACTTTGACCTAGGAAATGACTTGATCTAAACTGTATAGTTGGGTGATAACTCTGGCAGTAGGATAGAATATGGAGTAGGGGAATAAGAGGCTAGAGGCAAGACAGTCCTTTAGGAACCTATTTCAGTCTTCTGGGAAAGAGATGATTATGGTAGTGTTAACAGCAGAAGGGGAAGGAGGGGACAAAGTGAAGAGAGAGGGCAGAGTTGAATCAACAGGACTGGCAACAGATTGCGATGAGAAGGGTGGTCACAGTTGAAGTTTATAATAGTTTCTGGAGCAGGTGACTAGTACCATTGACCATAACTGGAAATGCAGGATGGGAGAAGGTTGGTGG